GGGGAGGTGAACGCCTCAGGAACCTCAAGGGAAGTGAGCGCCGGAACCACTGGAGACCCTGAAACCACCAGAGGACTGGGTGCCGCTGGCACTCGGCCCACCAGAGGCACAGACCAAGCAGGAGCCATCAGACGAGTGTCCGCAGCAACACCGTGAACCAACAGAAGGGGGTCTGCTACGGACCCAGGAAGCACTGACCCTATCCCCCCTTTAAGGGACGGCTCCTGACGTCCCAACATAGGGGCTGGGAGGGTGGGAAAAACAGGTCCCACTGATGGAGAGGCTGCTGCAGGGAATGCTAAGCTGTGGTCAGGTTGCAGAGCGCTCAACTGTGCCTTCACTCTCTCCCATTCTCGCTGCGTGGCACCAAAATCCGCTGTATCCCAGTACGTTGGGTCCAGTCTGGGTTGGATCATTCTGTCACGTGGGGGTAACGACAGGAAGCAGGCAGAACCCAAGTGCAGTACTGATGAGACTCTTTCTGGTGCAGGTAGGTTTATTCTCAAAGTGTAAGGCCAAAACAACAAAAAACTCACTTCTTCACAAGACCAGGAACAAGGCATAAACCAGACAAGGCATAAACTACTAAGTACAAACTAAGAACTCGAAGGACACACTAAGCTGAGCACAGGAACAGATACAATGATCCAACCCAATCACAATGATCCAACCACGACAGAGTGAGGGAGAGGGGTATATATACACAGGGAGCACCAGGTGACACAAGTGAAGCTAATTACCAACAGGTAAGTGTGATCCCACAGATAACCCCACAAAGACAACATGAAAAGGAAACAGACAGACATGACAGTGTTCTTCTTCCACCATGCATACTGCCCCTTGTTATGTCCAAATAACTCAATTCTAGTTTCATCAGTCCACAGCACCTTATTCCAAAATGAAGCTGGCTTGTCCAAAGGTGCTTTAGCATACCTCAAGTGACTCTTTTTGTGGCATGGGTGCAGAAAAGGTTTCTGCCACATTACTCTCCCATACAGCATGTCCTTGTGCAAAGTGTGCTGAATAGTTGAATGATGCACAGGGACACCATCTGCAGCAAGATCATGTTGTAGGTCTTTGGAGCTGGTCTGTGGGTTGAGTTTGACTGTTCTCACCATCCTTCGCCTCTGCTTATCTGGTCTTCCATTTTCTCATTATGTTCCTCACAGTGGAAACTGACAGCTGAAATCTCTGATTGAAATCTCAGCTTTCTGTATCCTTCCCCTAAACCACGATGTTGAACAATCTTTGTTTTCAGGTCATTTGACAGTTGTTTTGAGGCTCCCATGTTGCCAGTCTTCAGAGAAGATGCAAAGGGGAGAACAACTTGCAACTGGCCATACCCTTTCTTATGATTGGCTTCACCTGTGTATGTAGGTCAAGGGTCAATGAGCTTACCAAACAATTTTTGTCTTCCAATAATTAGTGCTAAAGGTATTCAGAACAATAAAACAACAAGGGTGCCTAAATTTATGCACCTGCCTACTTTTGTTTAAGTAATTATTGCACACATTCTGTAAATCCTATAAACTTCATTTCACTTCTTAAATATCACTGTGTTTGTTTGCTATATGATATATTTAATTGAAATTGCTGTTCCGAACAACCAATGATCCATAAAGGAAAATCTTGAAAATGATCAGGGGTGCCCAAACTTTTTCATACCACTGTAGTTAGGATGTACTATGTCTCACAAATCTAAAAACCGGTCGATGAGCTTTTGACATACGTACAAAAGCACGTTTTCACTAGTCTGCCAACAGGTTGGGCTTACCTCTGGAGAACTGTGGAAACAAAAGTCATATCAGTCTGTTTCTCTGCCTAAATGCTGACATAAGATTTTTTGAATCAGAAGGTTCAATATTTCACCTTATGTTTTTGAGAAAATTGATGTCCAAGGTGAAATCCTTTTAGAAGAATTAAACTTTCTAAGACGAATAATAATGTTATCATGTTGTTGTTAACTCTACCAGCCTGGAGGAAGATTGTCGGGTTCAAGTCTGTTTTTCAGATGGTTTCTTGCAGTGCTAAGTTGCTATTGTCAGTTTTGGCAAATGAACCAACACATGGGTGTCATTTAGCAAATTTAATTAAATGTGGGTAACATGAGGTTATGTCAGCTGACAGAAAAGCTGTCATTTCAGTACTCCAGAGGACAAAATCTGTGAGTGGACTCGAAAAGTCCTCTCACAACGTATTATAAACATTTTCACAGCAATTCTTTTGATTAATATACAGTGCCATATACATTGCCAGAGGAAACATAGGAATTATTTGATACACATGTTTGGGTGCAAGTCGGAGTTCAGAGCTGGGCGTGGTGCATGGTTGGAGAGGGAAGCGAAATAGATGAAAAAATTTCACCTAATATCCTACAACAAAAAAGGTAAGTCTGACCCTGGATCAGATAACGGAATGTAGAGGGAGTATCTTCTGTTTGTCCCGCTGCAGTTTGTTGGTTCAAGGCTCAGATTTGAGATACAATACATCAGTTTCTAATTAAAATTCTTGTTTATTGTGTGGTAGAGACTTCTCAGAGACTAATTGAATCTACGTGTATCCAGAATGTGTCATCTCTACTTCATTATCTCAGCCAGTGTTAAAAGACAAATGATTTTGAGCCATAGTGGAGGCAATTTTTTTCTCCTAGTGTTTTGTCAGGTCTGTGGAAAATGTTCAAAAATCAGTATTTTGAAATGAAATAAAGATGTTTGTTTGTTTTCAGTTACAAATATTTCCTGATTTCCTCTCTTCCTTCTACACAGCCCCATGAGTTTGACGAGTGTCGTTTTGACATCAGCGTGAACGACAGTGTTTGGTATCTTAGGGCTGAAGATCCTGAGCACAGACTCCAGTGGATTGAGTCCATAGAACTGCACAAGGTGAGATGTTATAGACTTTGCTGATGTTGTTAAACAACTGTCACACAGACTTGACCTGTGAATGATTTGCTTACTGGTAAGCTGCCTTTCCTCCATGGCCTCAATAATTCAATTTGATTTTTCTGCCAAATAAATCTGAATTTCCAGTTGCCTGATTCAACCATGAAAGTACAGGATAGTTCACATATTTCGAATGTTTCAGATAGCTGGGTTTACTTTTGGCTCGGTTTTTTGTAGTGGACAGATAATCTGCTTCAGTGAACTGGGTGTGGCTGGACATAGATCTAGACACACACACTCCAACACACAGCCTTTTACCCTGGGAATGTGAGGAATCTGAGGAGTGAGGTGTTGAGGTGGGGGTGTATGCCAGTCATCAGATACTCAGCAGCTGCTTACGAAGTCAGGGCATTTATTTACCGATGAATGGTATCTTAACATGAAGATTGCAAAGCAGGTTTAGTCATGTTCTTAAGGCTTAATATTAGAATAGCGGTTTATACTCTTAGTGTGGCACAGACTGTGTTTGAGTTTGTGTGTATTTCTCAGTCAGGGTTTGGCAAGCTGTTTATACAGGAAAGCAATGATTTTTTTCATATTGGATTTTTATTTATTTTTTATTTCATGCATATTGGTTGTGGCAACACCATCACATAGAGTTGTGTCTTTCTGTGTGTTGGACAATGTTAATAATGACACCACAACCTTCATTCAATGTTCTGTGTAATTAACTTCTAACATCTCTTTCAATTTGTGTAGAGAATATTTCAAATATCCATAAGGAATTGGGGAGACATTTAATCTTTATATTTTATTCATATTCTACACAGAAAAATAATCAGGTTTCATACTCGTTACAGTTTCCCTGAATGTGAATTAAAGTTGTTTTACATAACACACCCTGAGTTGTCAAGAACAAGTAGACACAGTGATAAGGTCAAAACTGTCTTTTGAGGCTAACTGCTCACATTGTGAAGAGTTAGCGCACAACAAAGCAAATATGCAATTTTCATCAGAGTCATCATCTCCTGATCCTATGACTCTATGTTTTGGCTGTGTAGCTAAGTCAGCTGACTGAATTACTAAGTCATTACTCTGACTCTCATGCCTCTGAAACAATCTTTTTCTTTCACTGTTAATATTTGTTAGACCTTTTGAGGTCATCACATGTAAAATTTGAAGTAGTAAAGTGGTTGACAGCTTCAGAGGCCTCAGAGATGAGTGCAGATTAAACTAGACTTACAAGGATCTTAACTTTTGGTTTGGGAGCTACTGTACTTTTCAAATGACCAGGCTAAAGCGATCTACTGAACATATATCATATAAACAATATATGTTGCTGTACTGATTAAATGTATGTAGGTCTATTGCACAATATGATTAACATCTTACAGTAAATAGTCACTACTATGCACTATAGAATTTATATATATATTTATTTTTATATATATTTATATTTTTGGATAGATTATCTTGTGCAATCTACTGGTTGATCCAATCTTCATATTAAGCAGCCATGCTCTAAGGTTCATGTAATAACACAAGCAGGAACGAGAAAGCACATTCCAGGTTATATTTCGTTTATCTGCTGAACAGATTATTGATGATGACAATTATCATATATCATTGATTTACTGGTAAAATGGTCTGTGTTCTGTGATTCAAGAGTCAACTTTTTGTGTTTTTCTTTTTTTTTTTGTCATTTACCAAATACAGTGTTGTAACTCTTGAGTAAATGCAGCAACCTTAAAATAACTCATTAGCCCCACTGGCCTACAAAATGGCTGTCAGTCAAGTGTGAGTGACCACCAGTCTCTTTTCCATTAACATGACTGTGAGAGTGTGTGAGAGTTATGCCTGTGTTCTGACCTTCAGTAACCTCAGTTTAATGCACCACTGCATGCGGCTCTGACAAAGGCGTGTCAGCACTGCTCCCAGCTGGAAGAAGGAGAACTTGCATTAGTGCTGTGTTTAGGGCTGTAATCAACCAAAGAAGGTTTTGGTCGACTGAAGCTATGAATTTTGACTAATCACAGGAGGTCACAGTTGGGGCTGTGCAGTGCCTGATAGCTTTGTCTGTCTAAATTATAATTATAATTATAAATAAATATAAAGAGTGGCATTTTGGCCCAGAGGCAATGTCTCTGTCATTGGTGTCTCTGTCACCTCCTGGGCAAGTTCAAATACCAGTTAGGGCGGTCTGTACCTTCCAGTGGACTCACCACCCACAGGAAGGTTTAGGGGGTTGGTACAGTGCAATGTGATTTTGGGTGGTGGTCATAAAGACTGCTGCCCCCGCGACCCGGTAACGGATAAGCGGATGAAAATGGATGGATGGATGGATGGATGGATAAATAAATATAAAGAACAGTTGTCTTGCTTTATATTAAATCGTTGTGACCTAATTATTTTGCACTAAAATGAATTACACACTGGAGTCTGTAGGCTCTGAATATTGTGCATCATGTGCCTGTGCAATATCATAGCCCATGATTTCCAAAAATATACTATGTCCTTGTTTGCAAATGACATGCATTAGAGCAACAATACATGGATGGACTGATGTTGGAAAAATAGTGCACATCATTCAGCCTTGCTGTAAAAATGCATTATACATTTTATTCTGATTAATTTCAGATTATTCTACATGGTTACTTGTCAATTTTAACAGCAATACAATTTACATAAGAGTTTCAGTTATGCATTCAATATCTAGGAACATTCTGGACATTGGTCAGCAGCTATTTCCATGTTTGGCATAATCTGAGTTTATCTCAATTTAAGATGGTCATAAACACAAGTCATATTTACTACTGATTACTATTCATGCAAATATCAGAAAATTAGCACCTGCTGTCATGGGAAGATTTCTTTGTGTGAACCATTTTGTGGTTTTATGTGAGAGTGTTTGTTTTGCTAAAAGCTGTGCTAAATGTACTAATGTTGAGCACAGCGCTTGATGAATTATGCATTTTTCTATTCACTCTCTCTCACAGAAACTAACGTTGGGAGGGACACTTTGATGATATTTAGTGGACTGTTTCATTGTAGCAAATAAGG